GTGTCGCACCTGTACCGGACCGGGACTGGCAACGGGATCGCAACCGGCAATGGATCGCAACCCTCAGTGTCGCACCTGTACCGGACCGGGACTGGCAACGGGATCGCAACCAGCAACGGGATCGCAACCCTCGGTGCTGTGCCCGCCCCTCGCTCAGCCAGTGAGCGGCCGGTCTGTATGTGGGATCCGAACCCTTGGCGGGAGCGCTGCCGCGCTTCCCAAGCGGCGCACTGTAGCAGTGCGCCACCGGCCGGCCCCTAGCCAGAGGTTTCTAAACCAGCTGGAATTTTAGGTTCTACCTCAGAACTGCTACATCAGGATCTTAATTGGGCCTCAGAAATCTGTGTTTAAAAAAAATCTCCCTGGCCTGGCACCATGGCATTTGGGAACTACAGCTCTCATTCTCCGTGCCTTTCCTTCTAAGCCTGTGGGTCTTTTGCAATGTTGAGAAAAGAACTCAGATCTCCCAGCAGTTACTGGGTGGTGAACAGTTTATAGAAGGAAAAACATACCCCCTGTTCCATTGCCCCAGAGTGCTGTGAGGCATGGTCTGGATATATGTGGGGTATTTTTAAAGGAAGAAAAAAGAATGTGTTTCAGTTCATATTGTTTTTGTATTATGGGCTCCCAGAAATGATCCGCTCTTAGATTTTTAAAGGTAAGTACAGGTGAGACGAATACTTACATTTTAAACATTCACTGTGTCTTAAATATGGAGCAGGGACCTACAGATCTGGAGGTGGTTGTGATTTGTCCTTTCTCTCACAGCATGTAAAGTCTGCTATAGCTCGCCAGAGAATCACCATTCTAAATGCAAGCACAAATAAGATATGTCTCAGTTAAGTTGTTGGTTCCTTGGTTAAACCAGTAACTTCAAAACCACTGGCAAATTTTTAAAAATAAGAAAGAGACAGGTGCAAAAGTGCCACCTCAGATCTATGGATATAGAATCTGAGGGGACAAGCCAGTCCTAGTATATAAGAGTACTTCAAAACATTATTGGAAATATAGAATTAAAGGATAATATGAATCTTTCCATGCACGTTTTGAAGTACCCTCATATATTTAAGAAACTGCACAGTGAAACAGGCCCACTGAGGCTGAGGAAGCATCTGCTATGTCTTACTGGTTTTCTTCAGTGAAAAGTAAATAAGTTCCCACTACATACTTGTTAAAATGGGTAAAATACAAAACACCAACAACACTAAATGTTTTCTCAAAGATATGGAGCAACAGGAACACTCATTCATTGCTGGTAGGAATGTAAAATGGTGCAGGCAGTTTGGCGTTTCTTTTTTTTTTAACAAAACTAACCATACTCTTACTGTATGATCCAGCAGTCATGCTCATTGGTATTTGCCTGGGACTAAAGACTTATGTTCACACAAAAACCTGTACACAGATGTTTATAGCAGTTATATTCATAATTTCCGAAACTTGCAAGTAGCCAAGGTGTCCTTCAGTAGGTGGATGTGTAAGTA